GTTTATTGATACTTCTGTGTGTCTTTACAGACTGAAAGTTAGAATAATATGTTTATTGATACTTCTGTGTGTCTTTACAGACTGAAAGTTAAAATAACATGTTTATTGATACTTCTGTGTGTCTTTACAGACTGAAAGTTAGAATAATATGTTTATTGATACTTCTGTGTGTCTTTACAGACTGAAAGTTATAACAACATGTTTATTGATACTTCTGTGTGTCTTTACAGACTGAAAGTTATAATGACATGTTTATTGATACTTCTGTGTGTCTTTACAGACTGAAAGTTAGAGTAACATGTTTATTGATACTTCTGGGTGTCTTTACAGACTGAAAGCTACAATAACATGTTTATTGATACTTCTGGGTGTCTTTATAGACTGAAAGCTAGAATAACAGGTTCATTGATACTTCTGGGTGTCTTTACAGACTGAAAGTTATAATGACATGTTTATTGATACTTCTGGGTGTCTTTATAGACTGAAAGCTAGAATAACAGGTTCATTGATACTTCCAGTTGTCTTTACAGACTGAAAGTTATAATACCAGGTTTATTGATACTTCTGGGTGTCTTTACAGACTGAAAGTTAGAATAACATGTTTATTGATACTTCTGTGTGTCTTTACAGACTGAAAGCTGTAATAACAGGTTCATTGATACTTCCAGTTGTCTTTACAGACTGAAAGTTATAATACCAGGTTTATTGATACTTCTGTGTGTCTTTACAGACTGAAAGTTAGAGTAACATGTTTATTGATACTTCTGGGTGTCTTTACAGACTGAAAGTTAGAGTAACATGTTTATTGATACTTCTGTGTGTCTTTACAGACTGAAAGTTAGAGTAACATGTTTATTGATACTTCTGGGTGTCTTTACAGACTGAAAGCTAGAATAACATGTTTATTGATACTTCTGGGTGTCTTTATAGACTGAAAGCTGTAATAACAGGTTCATTGATACTTCTGGGTGTCTTTACAGACTGAAAGTTATAATACCAGGTTTATTGATACTTCTGGGTGTCTTTACAGGCTGAAAGTTAGAGTAACACGTTTATTGATACTTCTTTACAGTTGTCTTTTGACTTATGAGGTAGAGTTCAGGAAAACAGGTGGTGGTTACCAAAGAATTAACACTCAAGATATTATATTTCCATCTTTCCAGTTTTCTTGTTTCCACAGAAGAGGTCAGTGTATATAAATATTAGACATATGTCTGTTTTGTGTTACTGAAGAGGTCAGTGTATATAAATATTAGATATATGTCTGTTTTGTGTTACGGAAGAGGTCAGTGTATATAAATATTAGACATATGTCTGTTTTGTGTTACTGAAGAGGTCAGTGTATATAAATATTAGACATATGCCTGTTTTGTGTTACAGAAGAGGTCAGTGTATATAAATATTCAACATACAGTACTGTGCAAAAGTGTTAGGACAAAGTCAAAAATTAGATTTCAGACTACATTCAATGAACAATGGAAGGTAAATCACAGGTGAAAAATCAAAATTTTATTAGTCTTCATATTTAGTGCAACAGAAACTCAGTGAAAATGCTTGAGTTCAGCAAACAGTTAATATTTTTGCTTTAATAACTGCAGACAGTCTATCAGGCATTGTTGCAACATTTTTAATCAAAGTGTCCTTTATTGTTTTTACTCAAAATGTCTGTGTTGCGTATCTGCTTGTTTGTTAATTTCTGGTATAAATTCTTTCCGAGGAACTTCTTTGTCACAGGGCTTAAGCTAGACACCTTCTCCCAAGCAAGGCGAAAAATGCTTTCTTGTAGAAAATCAATTATTGGCTTCAAATCTTGGTCTTTCTCCTGTTCTGCTTTAATATCTATACGTGGTTCCACATCTATACCTGGTTCCAACCTCTCTTTTAACACTTACCAGAATTTGGCCTTTGTTGTTCTCAAATGTCATTTTATCAAAGTTTACTACAAACTTCTTCGGTAGTAAGAAGTCCAACCCTAATATACATAGGTCTTTCATTGTCAGCCAAGTATACTTTGTGTCTTTCGTTTATGCCCATGAGCTCAATAGTTACCCACACTGGTCCCCACAACCTTGTATTATGTCCTTTCACGCCACAGAGCTTCTGTATGGTTTCTGGTACTCCTTTGTAATCTAGCTCCTTGATACTCACAAGGGTTTGCTGAGATGCAGAATCGATGACAAAGTTGCACTTTTGACCATCCAGCTTTCCTGTCACATAGACACTGTGTGTGTGTATTTGCCATTTTACACTTAGCTGTTAGGACTTTCACAGTGGGGTTTGGTGGGCGTCTCTCAACACCAACCACTACTGGTTTCCCCGAGACTGACTTATTGGTAGTATTCCTCTTACACTGGCTCCTCATATGTCCTTGCTCTCCACAGTTCCAACAACCTTTCTGGGTAGCAGCCTTTCCTGCCGTGGCATCTCCCCTGTGTTGAAGTTGCCGGCATTGAGCTCTCTTGTGCCCAGGTTTGTTTCAGTACTAACAAAGTCTCTCAAACTTCTTTGAGAGCTGCCCTTTTCTGGCCTTGAAACCTGATGACTGTACCAACATTGGTACTTCTGTGCTGGACTTAACGTAACGTAGTATTCGATTTCAAGAGCTCTAGCCATTGCATCCTGCACAGTAGAGGGGTGTGCTTGCTTTACTTGTATCTTCAGTTGTGGACTGTCCAAGGCATCTACAAACTGATCCCTCAGCAACAGCTTGAGGACATCGGGTGGGGCAGTTGTGTAGGCCTTGTGTGCCATACTTTCGAAATCGTGTGCCACCAAGTGTCAGCAATAGGGGTGATCTAGTACGAAGGAAGCCACAGAAATTCGATGGGAAGGCACCATGGGAAGCATACAGAGCACAATTTGAGCTCCTGGCAGAAATGAATGGATGGACAGAGAAGCAGAAAGCAGTGTACCTGGCAACGAGCCTGAAGGGACAACCACTGGAAATACTGGACAGTTGTCAGCAGATGACAGGCACAACTATAGAGCACTGGTAGCTGATCTAGAACTCAGGTATAGAATTCAAAATCAGTCCGAAGTCTACATGGCTAGGTTTAGGACTAGAGTCCGTGCTAAAGGGGAGAGCCTGCAAGAGTGTCTGGAATGTGACTTCTGGCAGGACTGAATATGTTTGCATTAGGGTTTAGCTGCGGGGTCTGGAAGGGGCTTCCCATTGTCTGAGGCTGATTAGGTCGATGGCTAATATATCCTTTTTGTGTAAAAGACCGTAAATCATTCTTTAATGTATTTAATTCTCTTTGATATTTACTAAAGTTTTCCATTTGTGTACTCTGGCTTTCTTTCAATTGTTGGAGACTTTCTTCTTGTTCATTTTCTTTCTCTTCCAACCACTGCTGTAGGCTCTCTTCTTGGTTATTTTCTTTCTCCTCCAACCACTGCTGTAGTCTCTGTTCTTGTTTATTTTCTTTCTCTTCCAACCCCTGCTGTAGTCTCTGTTCTTGTTTATTTTCTTTCTCCTCCAAACACTGCTGTAGTCTCTGTTCTTGTTTATTTTCTTTCTCCTCCAACCACTGCTGTAGTCTCTCTTCTTCTTTCTTTTCTTTTTCCTCCAACAACTGCTGTAATCTCATGTTTATTTTGCTGTTGGAGTTGCCACTTTTGCAGGCTTTCTTGCCACTTCTGTTGTCTCTCTTCTTCTTTCTTTTTCCTCCAACAACTGCTGTAGTCTCTCTTGTTTATTTTGCTGTTCAAGCTGCCACTGTTGCAGGTTTTCTTGCCACTGCTGTTGTTTCTCTTCTTATTTCTTTTCTTGTTTATTTTCTCGTTCTTCTTGTTTCTTTTGCTGTTCTTGTATTGCTGCCATCAAATCTGCTAAGCTGTAGTTTGATTTGCCACTTCTCGTTTCCATCTTCTTTTTTTTCTTTTCTGTCCCACTCTCTGACACCAATTTGTTGAGTATCTGCTTATCTTTTAATTTCCGGTATAAATTCTTTCTGAGTGACTTCAGCGATACAATTCCCTTCTTGATTAAAACTAGTTTATTCTTTCTCGATACAACTTTGTAATACACAGAATTTCCACAGTCACTTTAAACTTAACAACCTTTATAACACACGCTATAAATCACAGCGATTCACACACTTTACTTGACTCAATTATCTATCTCTTGAATTTGTCTCCTCGATATCTCTTCAATCGTGCTGGTTTTTCTCACCAGGCTTATATACTAAAACTCATCCATCCATAACACCATTTTCCAATCATCAACAATCCAGTTTTTGTACATTTTAGCAAATTTCAGTCTCTTGACAATATTAGGAGATTGAAGTGAATGTTTTTTAATCGCTACACGACCATATATTCCATTTTCGTTGAGTCTTCTGGATACTGTAGCTCTGTACACTTTTCTGTCATTTGATACATGGTCGTTTATCTTATGCTTGAGATCAGTGGCAGTCTTCTTTCTGTCTCTAAGGCTCCATAAATGAAGAAACTTAACATCAATATAATTTAGTTTAGGTGTTCTGCCTCTTCCTTTCCTATTTTCAAACTTGCCTGTCTTTGTCTCATGATCTAGGGTGTACTTGACAGTGTTTGGGGAGAATTTCAAGTCTGCAGTAATTTGTCAGATAGTCCAACCACTATCACATGAAGCTTTTACGCAAACTCCCTGCTCTACTGACAGTTCTCTATGCTTAAATATTGTTACGACAGCAGAAATCACGTGACGCTGCTGGTGCGTTTCACACTGGTAGCATGCGTGAAATTTCTGGAATGATCATGAATGATTGGGGAGGCCCGAGTGCATTTGAAACACTTCTTTGTTAGTATATAAGCATGGCAGAGAAGCCAGCAATATATAGATAATTAAAGAAGTGAACAGTAGTTACGGGAATATAAAGATTGTTTTTTGTACTCTTCGAGAGGAAAGTTATCGAGATTGTGAATCGATGTGATTTATAGCGTGTATTATAAAAGTTAAGTTTAAAGTGATGAGAACCGTACTGACTGTGGACTTTCTGTGTACTAAAAGTTTGTATCGAGAAAGAATAAACTGGTTTAATCAAGAAGGGACTTGTATTGCTAAAGTTCCTCGTAAAGAATTTATACCGGAAATTAACAAACAAGCAATAGGAAACTGCAATATTGAATTATACAGAAATACACTATATTGAATTTTAGCAAGCA